GGCGACAACATGCAGTGAGGCTGGACATTGGAAAGAGGCAATGGACAGTGAAATGAACAGTCTTGTTAAAAATAACACTTGGACACTAGTGACTAAACCAGAGGATAAAGCAATTCTAGATGTGAAGTGGGTATTCAAAAGAAAACCAGGTAATGTTTTTAAAGCTAGATTAGTGGTTCGAGGTTTCCAGCAAAAAGATAGTATTGAGGATACTTACTCCCCTGTCATTCAAGATGCAAACCTTAAAATTGTTACTTTCATATTCCTGTCAGTATAATTTAAATATTCATCAAATGGATGTTGAGACTGCCTTTTTAAATGGTTATGTTGTGTCTGAGGTTTATGTTAAACAACCACAAGGCTATAATGATAATTCGAATAGAGTGTATAAATTAAAGAAAGTACTATATGGGTTGAAAGAAAGCCCTCGTGCTTGGTATGAGTGTTTTAAATGAGTGTTTTAACGAGTATATTGAGAGTCTAGGATTTCGTAGAAGTAAATATGATTATTGTCTCTATGTAAAATCTGAAAATGATGTATTTGTATATATTCTTTTATTTGTTGATGATTTGTTGTTGCAGAGATACTCGGGTAATTAATGATATTAAGGAACAACTACATAAAAAATTTAAAATGAAGGATTTAAATAAAGTAAAAAGCTACATTGGAATTGATATTGAATATGATAATGAAAAGTAATATCTTAACACTGAGTCAGGAAAATTATATTGAATCTTTAGCTAAACTGTATGGTATTAAAAATTCAAAGCTTTATGATACACCAATGGAGACTAATCTTAAACTAAGCCAATCTAATTTAAATCAAAATGTCAAATATAGAAATCTAATAGGAGCACTCTTGTATATTAGTCATGGTACTAGACCAGACATATCTTTCAGCGTAAATTATTTAAGTAGATTTCAAAATTGTTATGATGAGATGAGACACATTTCAAATATGCTTTGAAAGTTTTGAGAGTTTTAAAGTATTTGTACTTAACAAAACATCTAAAATTAACCTATAGTAAAAATCTTAAAACTGATATTATGAATTGTTATGTTGATGCTGATTGGGCAGGTGATATTGTTGACAGAAAGTCAACTACTGGGTTTGTTATTGAATTATTTGGTAATCCAATTTACTGGAAATCCAAAAAGCAAAATTGTGTGACAAAATCTTCCACTTTTGCCGAATATATTGCTCTATCTGAGGCTGTGACAGAAATTAATTTCTTGAAAAATGTTGTGAATGATGTTTTTGCTGATATAACTCACCCCATTAAAATTTATGAAGATAATTCAGGAGCTTTGGCCATTGCTAATTATGGGAACTTCACTAAAAATTCAAAACACATAGAAGTTCAATATCATTATGTTCACGAAAATGTTCAAAATGGAGTAATTGAAATTGTAAAGATTGATTCAGAATCAAATATTGCAGATATCTTTACTAAGTCTTTAGGAAAGATTAAATTTATGAAATTTAGAGAAGGTTTGAAATTGAAATAAATTTTGTATACTGTTTATTTAAATATATTTTGCTTGAAATGAAATAGATTTTGGTAATGTCCTTATGTAAACTAAATTGTGTTTAACTTTGATTTTAACATTTAAGTTAATGAAAGAAACTTTTTTAAAAATAATTTGTGTTAAGTGTTGAATGTTATTGTTTATATCTATGCTTAATTGTAAATGGTAAAGATGAAAAAGATTGCTTATATCTATGTTTGTTTGTAATTAGTAAATATAAATGTAAGGAGGTGTGTTACTTTGGTACATTTATCTTTACCATACTGGCAACACCAAGTTTCTCTTCTCTGTGTGCGAGCTATGGATGCCGATGTAATGTTGTGCACGTGTTGTTAAGATTGAATAAAAAAATGTGAAAAGATACGTTTCTTATTTTTCGACTTGCTTCTTCATATGATATCGATTTATTTAACATTTTCATGTGTTTTCCCTTACACAATGTAAATAAGAGCCAGTTTGTCTAAGAAAATTCTCATCAAAGGCATGCCCCCATAAGCAGATAGCCCTCAATGTGTGTTTTGCAGTAATCAAATAAATGACCAAATAAAAAAACAAATTCAAATATATGAATCTAATCAGATTGTTGACAGCTTGAGAATAGAACTAAAGAGACTCTTAAACTTTTCCCCCTCTCTCAACCTAATTTAGACTTTTAGCATATTTTACAACAATTATTCTTCTATCTGTGCTAAATTGATCCAGAGTTTCCTTTTCTAATTTAATTCTTCCTTTCTAAACTAGCTTTCAATACATAAACATACACAGCTCATTTAAGAGATCCTCTGTAGTTATTGAACGCAAATAAATTTTTACTCTGCATAAGGTACTACATAGGTGCTCGTGAGAACTCATTGTACATCTTCTCAAAAACTGCACCAGAATTCTATCTGCTGTAGAAAACAACACGGTAACACTAATTATTTTGCAATAGCAGAAATAACGGTACCTTACTTATTACACGTTGCCAAAATGAGACAGAAGATTTCCTTATTACAGCCATGATCTTGGAATACTAGATTCCTTGTGGTGTTGATTGAAAGGAGCTAATCCTACTAACAGTCAATAATAGAAGGAAAATATAAAGATGCATTATCATTACTCTATCAGAAGAGGTCCTTCTTGACTTCATATACAACTTCAGACTGTGGCTATCATTGGTGGTTGTACAATCAAGAGGTCATTTGACAATATATATAGAATGAGCATTAATTAAAAAAATAAGAAGATAGTAGTAATAAGACCCAAGGAATAATGTGACAGTTGGATTTAAATCTTCTGGTAGTATGCAAAATCTTGCGGAGAGTTCTTCACTTCTATCCATACAATACACATGTAGGAATTAAAATACAACAATCATAACGGGTGGCATCCGCTCTGACATTTCTTGCCAGAATGGAGGTTGATGATAGTCGCCCTCCAAGAAAAGGGGAAGGAGAAAGATAAAAAAAAATAAAAAAAAAGAGAAAAAGCATTGGATTAGAAATATTTTTAATTTTACACAGATAATATTACAAAAAAAAAAAAGAAAAGAAATAAAAATATGTGACAAGACTGATGTCTGTTACACTTTTCTGAAGTAAATTCTGCAAATACTTCCATTTTGAATTTATATTCTTCAAAACTTTTTGTGACATTTTTATAGCAACATTCAGCACTTAATCTATCATCATCAGAAATTTTTCTTAAATTGAAATTTCAATTGTGATTGATTTTAAGTTAAAATTTCTCTTCCCAATTTGTATACAACCTCTCAATTTCCAGGTAGCATGATCTCAAACTCTAAGATTAAATACCTTGGCAAATTTTTGCCATGTAAAAGCTACCATTTTTTGTGCTGTGCATGTGTTTTCTTTTTTTTTTTTTTTTTTTTTCTTTTTTCTTTTTTTTGAATAAGTATAAACTTTTACTAAATATAACTGAAGAAAACTAGAAATTGTATAAAAAATTACATTCTGCAAGTTTCACAAAAATGATTTTAAATTTAAAAATGCCAGAATATGACTATTTTCTTTATTTAAAGCATATATGTAATAGAAAGGAATATGTCTGTAACTAGGAGTTGTGAAAATAAAGGACACATAAAGATTTTTGGAAACATGCTGTCTAAAATGCAGTTTTTTTCCCCCTTTGTGTGCATTCATTTTACAAGTCAATCAAAATAAACTGAATTGTTAATTTTAATAAAGAAGCAAAAAATTAACTCACATGACCACTTTTAATATTTCTAACATATATCCCTTCATTTTCATCTAGAGGAATAGCATATCTTTTGGTAATTATCTCAACTTCAGTTGGAGGAATGTATTCAGCAGGCCCTTTAATCATCCAGCGGTCACCAGGACTGCGCATAACAGGCTAAAGGAAAAAAATATGAATGACAGCAAACTATAAATACATCTAATAAAACTGAAATTACAGCACCACAGAGAGGTAGTGCGATTTTCCTTACACTTACAGACATGATCAAATTTTTAGAGAAAAATAAATAAATTAATATATTTATTACTCAGAAAAAGATATATATACCAATATATCTGCATGAAATGACTCCATCTCTGTTAAGATGCATTCAATATACCCATTGCAACATTAAAGCATACAAATATCAAAAGAGTTTTGGGATATCTCTTCATGCAACACTGAAAGCAATTTGGCAGACCATGGAAACATGGTGATACCACTTACACATTTTGATGATATGTTTGACAAATGTTGATGTGCATTGTTTTGAAGAAACACAGACTGCTTACAGCAGTTCTGAAAAGGAAATGCTAAAACATCTAAAATCTCAAGGCATCATTAGCATGTAACTGCTATACCGTCATCATATTAAAGGAAACTGACAAGCATAGCTGATAATCCATCAGATTATTAGGAAATGCTAAAACATCTAAAATCTCAAGGCATCATTAGCGGGTAACTGCTATACTGTCATCATATTAAAGGAAACTGACAAGCATAGCTGATAATCCATCAGATTATTATTTCCAGTGATCAAAGAAATTTAACATATTTGATTGCTCTATTTGCCACATCAACATTAAATTTTATATTCAAACAAAAGCAGGTTCATAGCTAAAGATATTTTAAAGCTATTTTCAAGTTACTTAGAGAAGTTAGTATAGAACACAAGTTGTGCAGGGTTACATCTAGTACTAAGACACAAAGTGAATTGCAAGTATGCTACTTTGGTAAAGTAATTGAACATTTTTTGTTAGATGATGAATTAAATGATAGCAGGCATTATTACTCATCTAAAAGGGGATTACCACCAAGTTCTATAGTAATTATCTGTGCTTCAGTGCGAGTACCTCCTCTCAACCACCTCTACACATGCTACAAAATTATTTCTTTGTCTCTGTCCAAATATGCCAATATATGTCTTGCTGGTATTAATTTATAAATGTAACTTGTTCAACAAATGTGCATAAAATCTCTAATGGATCATCCAAAAATTTGATTCTTTCCTGCTAACTGGCGTAATTTAGTGCGAAACTTAAAGTTGGTGAGAAATTTAGCTACATGGCAGCAGCCCTAACCATACATAAAGCTTCATGAAAAGACTGGTGAACATAACATATACAGTGGTGGCCAAAATTGTGGACACTTTTGGAAATTTTTGTTTTTGAACTTTGTATGCTTATAGAAAACGTTACGTTTCACGAAATGCAAACTTGTATACATCATTTTAAAGAGAATTTATTACCGAATTCAATACAAAACACAAAATTCAATTATTTGCAATACAAAAAAAGTTAAATGATAATAGTTATTGATATACATTAGATAGTGATGATTGCAGTGAGTTCAGTACTTAGTAGGGTACTTTTTATTTTTTACTACAGCTTCACATCGACGTTTCATCGAGCTGACAAGAGTTTTAAGCTCTTCTTTCGTTATTACATGATGCCAGGAAAACATTATAGCCTCAATTAGTTCCCTTTATTGATGGGCGCCTCATTCAGACAAGAGTTTTCAAATGGTGCACATATTTTCGATAGGGTTGAGGTCAGGACCGTTCCTGGCCATGAGAACAATTTAATGCTCTTTGTACAAAACCACTCTTTCGATTTTTGGCCGTGTGGCCAAGGAGCAATCCTGCTGAAAAATAAACAAAGCATTGTTGGGAAAGAGATCTCTGATGGAGGTAGAAGTTTTGGTTTAGAATAGTGTCAATGTATTTTCTGGCATTCAGTGCCCCATCGATACATGAAGGCGACCAATACCATCTGCTGACATGCATGACCAAATATAACACTAACTGGGTTCTTCACAGTTGCTGATGCAGTCAGGATGTAGCTCTTCTCCTATTCTACGTCTACATATTTTCGCCATCACTACCGAATACGATATCTTAGTTTCATCCTCCATATAACTTGTGACCACTGATCATCTGTCCAATTAATGTGTTCCTTTGTCCACTGTAGTCTTTTTTTTTTTTTTTTTTTTTTCATTGCTGAAATTAAGATAAGGTTTTTTCGTGAAATTCTACCTCTCAGTCCAACATCTGTTAATCTTCTCCTGATTGTTCTTGAACTGACAGAAACACCAGCTCATTCAGATCACTTCTGATGGCCGCTGATGACATTTTTTTATCTTGGAGGCATAGTCGTTTTATTCTTCTGTCATCAATAGATGTGATGCACCTTTTCCGGTCTTTTCCTTCTTTATTTTTTTTATTAAATTTGTCTCCTGTTATCGTAAACAAAACTTTCGGATTCCAGATGTAGTCACTGAACCACCCAGTCTTGCAATTTCAGCATAGGAAAGACTACTTTCTGATAACACAATAATATACGAGGGCTATAAGAAAGTGATTACGTTTTGGAATAAAAAATAAACAAAGTATAGGAAACAAATTTTATTATATACAGATGAAGCCACATCAAATACTACTTTTCTACATAGTCACCATACAAAAGGCATTTCATAGCGATGTACGAGCTTGGAAATTCCTTCGTCGAAAAAATTCGGCGCCTGCGCCTTTCAACACTTCGTTACCTCTTCTTGCAGCTGTGCGTCGTCATCAAACGCTGCATAGCCAGCCACTTCTTCATGCTGGGAATAGGTGGAAGTCGCTCGGGCCAGGTCGGACTGTACGGGGATGAGGAAAAAACTCCACTTAAAAGATTCAAGAACTTTACGAGTGACATTTGCCGGGGGGGCGGGCGTGTGTGATCAACAAGATCTTAGAGCTCAATTGTTTTTTTTTTTTTTTTTTTTTTTTTTTTTTTTTTTTTTTTTTTTTTTTTTTTTTTTTTTTTTTTTTTTTTTTTTTTTTTTTTTTTTTTTTTTTTTTTTTTTTTTTTTTCTCCGTTGTTTGAATTGCTCTTCTTTTTTGGAGAGTTTGGCAATACCTTTGAGAGTTTATTGTAGTGCCTCTTTCAGGAAGTCACAAAATTACACCTTTCTGTCCAAAAAACAGTCGCCATCATCTTCCTTGCCGACATTGTTTGCATGCATTTCTTGGGTTTTGGGGAGAACTTGTGGCCCCCACTGCATTGATTGCAATTTCGTTTCACAGTTCACATGTTTCACCCATGTTTCGTCACCAGTAACGATGCGATCGAGTAAAGAGTCACCATCCTTATGGTAAGCGTCCAAAAAGTTCAACGCTGCAGCCATTCGCTGATTTTTGTGTCCTCTGGTCAAGATTTTGGAATCCATCTTGCACAAAACTTGTGGTAACCAAGCTTTTCGCTGATGATTCGTGCAACAAACTTCGCGAAAATTTGTGGAAAACTCAAAGAAAGTTCCGTTATTGTGAAATTTCGATTTTTCACGGACTTAGCATCGACTTTTCGAGAAGTTCGGCGGGTCACTATGCTGGTCTCCACTTCGATCTTCGTCGTGAAATTGGTTCGGCCATTTTGAAATCTTTATGACCCACTGACGCACTCCACCTTCAGTGATAATGTTGTCCCCATACACTTCACGAAGCTGCCGATAGATTTCTATCGGTTTACAGTTTTTTGCAGTCAGAAACCTTATTACTGAGCGCACCTCGCAGCTCGCGGGATTTTCAATTAACGCAGACATTTCAAACGTCACAGTATCTGAACGGAGCACAGCACGAACCTCTCACTAGCACGGCTAGATGCAGACTGAGCTGCGCACGCTCTGACCCCAAGTGGCCGCGCTAGCCCCGCCCCTAGCGGACACAGACGGAAAGTAATAATCTACCTGGATGGCCTCGTACATCTCTTTTAGGTGTCAATCTACTTTTTATTTGATGTCATTGCTTCTCGACTAAATATTAAAATTTTACAAAAATTCCTACTTGTAATTGAGGGTATAAGAAACGGTCCTCCTTCTACAACAAAGCAAATATAAATTGTTTCAAGTATAAACATGATGTCAGATTCTACTGGCAGTTACTAACATTTGATTGGTTTCAGAACAAGAACAGTGATTGGCCAGCAAAGCTAGACATTACAAACCACTTCATAACTGTGTTTTTTTATTATATTAAAGTACATATAATTTTTTGATTGCAATAATTGAATTTTGTGTTTTGTATAGAATCAGTAATAAATTCTCTTAAAATGATATATACAAGTTTGCATTTTGCGAAACGTAACATTTTCTATAAGCATACAAAGTTCAAAAACATAAAATTTTCAAAAGTGTCCACAATTTTGGCCACCACTGTATATAATTCTTAGTGTATGGAGACCCAAGGCTATGTGTGATGCCAAATTTGTACAATTCTCTGGTGCTTTTTTAAGGAAAAACAGACTGTTGTGTACATGGGAAAAATGAAACTGTTGTTCCCTGCTTCCATGTACACAGTGATAAATTTTCACCTTAAATAAAATCACATATTGCATAAATTCGGCAAAGAATGACTATCTGTACTTCCAAAAGCAACTGAAAATCTAAGATTGAAAATTATAGGATTCACATCCATTCTTTCCACTTGTTCACACTGAAACGATGAAAACAGGGTACCACATTTGGGACTTTGATGCCAATTTCACAACTTGCACCCCATTAATAGAAATGCACCAAAGAGTTTTCCAGAAATGCAGGATTTGCTATGTATTAGTCGTCTGCATCACTTCATCATGACTTTCATTTATGACAATTTACAGATATTTCCAAGGCAGCTGAGTATAATTAGGATTCAGCACCCAAATAATAATTGCTTAAATTCAGGGAACATGTGAAATCATAGATCTAAACAATAATATTGTTTGCTATAGTGTAAAAATTATAATAACAAACATTAATAATACAGAGTGTTCCAAAAAGAATATGCATATTTCGAATGCATATATTTATTAAACTGTATGACATACGAATATGAAACTTTACTCACATATGTACGAACCTCTCAAGTTCAGATTACAGAT